GGGTGTCACTGCTGTCCCCAGCCACCTGGCTGCTGCCTCCACACCCCAGGCACCTGCACCAACAACCAGGAAGACGAGTGTCGACTGCCCGGGGGGGCAGTGGTGGCCTCCTGCTCTGACATGTCCAGCCACTGGAAGGTGACCGTCCCCGACCAGCCATCCTGTGACGGGCCTCCCCCGACGCCCATTATACCCAGGACCACGGCCACCCCGTGCCCACCGTCACCAATCTGCCAGCTCATTCTGAGCGAGTGAGACTCCCGGGCTGGAGCTGGGGCTGGGGTGGGGCTGGCGCTGGGGCAGGGGTTGGGGTGGGCAGGTAGTCCTGCTGATCTCATGCTTCTGGGGTGACAGGAAGACGGGGGCCTGCAGGGACTCCTGAGGGAGAGGGGACCAGCCTGGGCTCCAAGCAGAGTCGTGCGGCTGGAGCGCCACGCGCAGAGCCCAGCAAGGCTGGCCGGCAGCACACTGTGGGTCAGGGCGCGAGTCCTCACTCGGGCAGCACCCATGTGAGCGGGGCAGGGGGGCGCCCAGCAGAGAATTTGCAGAAAGCAAAGGCTGTGTACAGCTGGACACCCTCCCCGCCACACACGGATCACCCCAGGAGCCGGGGACACTCTGCACATGGTCGACCCGGCGGCTCCCTCCCGTGGGGCCCTCCGCCAGCGAATGCCCGCAGCCTGGCAGCCCCACTGCAGACCTGCCCCGCGACCCATGTGTCCCTGTGCCACAGAGTCTTTGAGCTGTGTCACACGGTGCTCCCTCCATGGCCGTACTACCAAGGCTGCCTCTTCGACCAGTGCCACATGCCCCGCTCGGATGTGATGTGCTCCAGCCTGGAGCTGTATGCCTCGCTCTGTGCATCTCATGGCGTCTGCGTCGACTGGAGGGGCCAGACCAACCGCACGTGTCGTGAGTGCCTTCCCTGGCCTCAGAGAGCCCCCGTCCCACGGGCAGTGGCAATCAGCATGTGGCCTGGGACCAGATGTGCTGGCCTCTGGTGGGACTGGGCGGTCAGGGTGGGCTTCCTGGAGGAGCAGGGCTGAGCCCAGAACAGGATGCATTTGTTTCCTGGAGAGAGAAGAGGGGGCGCCCAGATCACAGCGCCTGGCGCAGGGGTGGCGGTCGTGGGTTCTGATAGAGAGGGCGGTGCGAGAGCACACAGCCCAGCCAGAGGGGGCCCAGGGTCAGAGCCTCGGGGCTCTGTTGGTGCACTCCAGCCTCAGGCGTGCTCCCCTCTCCGCGCAGCCTTCACCTGTCCTGCTGACAAGGTGTACCAGCCCTGTGGCCCGTCCAGCCCCTCCTACTGCTACACCAACCACAGCACCAACGCTGCGTAAGCGCCCGCCCGCTTCCTCCAGGACCCCACGTTTCCCCCGGGAGCCCCCGAAGCCGCCTCCTCCCCTGCCCCGTCGGGGGGCCCGGCCGTCGGCCTCCACCTCCTCGCCTCCCGCGACGGGGTCCTTCGGGAAGACGGCTCCGATTCGA